CAACTTTCATTTTTATTTTTATTCAAGTTACTTTTCTGTTAAACTTCTTTTTTATTTAATTTCCAAATAGATCGTTAAGGTATAGTAGTTTCTTGAACGAACTTCCATTTTTAATTTTATCCAACTTTCCTTTTTCTTTTTATTCAACTTCCATTTTTATTCAATTTACTTTTCTATTCAACTTGCTTTTTTTTTTTTTAATTCCAAATAGATCGTTACGGTATAGTGGTTTCTTGAATGTACTTCCATTTTTAATTTTCTGCAACTTCCATTTTTATTTTGTTCAACTTCCTTTTTTATTCAGTTTACTTTTCTATTAAACTTCCTTTTTTTTTAATTTCCAAATAGATCGTTAAGTTATAGTGGTTTCCTGAATTTACTTCCATTTTTAATTTTCTGCAACTTCCATTTTTATTTTTATTCAACTTCCTTTTTTATTCAAGTTTCTTTTCTATTCAACTTCCTTTTTTTATTTAATTTCCAAATAGATCGTTAAGGTATAGTGGTTTTTTGGATGAACTTCCATTTTTAAGTTTCTGCAACTTCCATTTTATTTTTATTCAACTTCCCTTTTTATTCAAGTTATTTTTCTATTCAAGTTCCTTTTTTATTTAGTTTCCAAATGGATCGTTAAGGTATAGCGGTTTCTGGATTGAACTTCCATTTATAATTTTATGCAACTTTCATTTTATTTTTATTCAACTTCCTTTTTTCTTCAAGTTTCTTTTCTACTCAACTTCATTTTTTATTTAATTTCCAAATAGATCGTTAAGGTATAGTTATAGCGATCTCGGTTGTCCCTTTACTGTTCTGTTGTATTCCAAACTCGATTCCGTGGAGTGGTAGTGGTATCTACCTTGTTGTTGTCCTTTAATTCCCTTTGATTGAGTTTTAGGATGTTTTGAGGAAGGTTGTTACAGGTTGGTTAGGCCTTGGTTTCAATTCCCTGTCGTTCATTTTTTTGGCGGTCCGCTCGAGCGGGTCTTCTTGCGCTCGAGCGGAGATTGCACACTTCCAGTATTTTCGTGTTCCTGCAAAACTTCTGCAGGTGTGGTTTTTACGCTCGACCGGGTTTGTTCACGCTCGAGCGGGTCGGTTGGCGCTCGAGTGGGTAGTACTTCCAGAGTCTAAGTTCTGGGAGGGGGAAATCTACGCTCGAGCGGGTCTTCTTGCGCTCGAGCGGATGTGCTTTATTCTTGTGTCTTGGCGCTCAAGCGGGTCTTATTGCGCTCGAGCGTGTCCAGATTTTGTTCTTGGCGCTCGAGCGGGTCATACGTATATGAGTTCTCCGCTGGGTGATTTTAAATCACTTTTTACTTTTCTTTCTCTCTCCTACTTTTTCTAAAAACCATTTTGAGAGCCTCTCTCTCTAAAATCTTACCTTCTCTCTAGATTTTGATCTAGCTAGGGTGAGTTCCTTGTCTTTGGCCTTTACAAAAGAGTTGTTGATCGTCGGGGGCTACTTTTTAATCTGAAAATCTCAGGTTTTGGAGCACGTTGGGTTTTGTCATCTTCTCCTTTGGGGCTCCGAATTTGAGGTAGGGATATCCTACTCCTCTCTATGGGTTTTGTCTTTAAATTTTGGCATTTTGAGATGTTGGTGTTGGTTTGGTAATTTTGTGAAAGATTGGGGCTTTTGTGTAATTTTACAAAAGTTGGGGTTCTAGTGCTGCTTGCTAGGCCTTGCCTTAGCATGCACGCTCTGCCTTGCCGGTAGGGGATGCAAGCTAGCTTTGTCTAGGCTGCTTGCTAGGCATGCAGCAACTGCTGCCTTGCTGCATGCATGCTCTGCTTTGCTAGGCCTTGCCTGGCATGGCATCTGTTACCTTTCTTTGGCATGCTCGCTTCTTGGGCCAGGCTGCCTTTGCCTAGGCATCCATGCAAGCGCTGCTGGGCTTGCCATTGGCGATGCTGCTATGCTGGGTACTGGAGTTCATTGGCCTTGGCATGCATGCTGCTGATCCTTTGCCTTGCATGGTAAGCTTCTAGTTCTTGCTACGCTGCCTATCGCCTAGGCAGTTAGGAAAGCCTATTGGCATCAGTGTGCTTGGCTGGCACATTGGCCTTGGCAATGCTATGGCTGCTTGCTTGTGCTGCTGGGCTGGCAATGCCTTGGCATTGGATGGCATGGCTGACTCCTTGTTTAAGCACATGCTAATGCTGGCTTTAGATACATATTCAGCATGATTCTAAACGCACTCCTGGCCCGGCAACCCATGCGCGTGCGCCTTTTCTTACCTCTGGCCAAGCATGCTGCTGGCTTTGGCTTGCTTTCACTTGGCCTAGGTTATGAGTATGCATGCAAGCCTGCTGCCTTGCCTTGCTTGGCATGGCGTCTGTGGCTTTGCTGGAGCTGCCTTTCCCTTGGCATTGCATGACTATGCCTGCTGGCATGGCTCATGACGTGCTCTGCTTGGCGGGCTGCTTTTCTCGGTCATGCATGCATGCTGCAGGTTTGACCACGGCATGCCATGCGTGTGGCTTTTTGCTAGGCTGCCTAAGCCTAGGCATGCATGGCAGTGCTAGCTTGGCTGGAATCGCACATTGCTGGCTTTGCTGGGCTGCCTACCTGGGCACTAACATGCTGGGACTTTGCCATCCATGCCATTGCTGTGCCCTTTGGCTAGGCGCCTTGGCCGGCATGAAGCAAGCTGCTGGCCTTGGCTGGCATGGCATGCGCTAGCTATGCCAGTGTCCTCGACATCGACGTGCACGCTGCTGGCCTTGCCATGGGGCATGGCATGTTGCTGCTTTGCTAGGCTGCCTTGGCCTTTCATGCAGCGCTGCCTTGCCGGGCAGTGAATGCAGCTAGCTTTGTAGCTGGTTCCGCTGTGCACCCTAGCAATGGCATGGCAAGCTGTCTGTGCCTAGCTTGGCATGCATGCTGCTGGCTTTGGCTAGCCCGCCTTGCAGCTGCGCTTTGCGCCAGCATGCGGCTTTGCTTAGAGCATGCCATCCTAGCAATGGCATGGCGTTGGCTTGGCTTGCATGGCAACTGTCTTTGCTGGGCGCCTGCCTTGGCATGGCATGCTGGCTGGCCCTTGGCCTTGGCAGGTAAGCTGCTGGCTTTGGCCTACGCTACTTGCCAGGCATGAAGGTAACTGCGCCTTGGCTTGCATGGCAGCTTCTTGCTTTGGCTGGGCTACCTTTGCCTTGGCATGCATGCTTACTGGCCTTGGTTGTCCAGCTTGCTCTGCTTATTGCCTGGGGCTGCCTGTCGTGCATGCATGCATGCTGCCGGCCTATTGCATTTGGCATGCTGCTGTCTTGGCTAGGCTCTTGGCCTAGCATGCCAGACGGCTCCTTGCCCTCCTGCAGCACTGCTCTGCTTTGCTAGCTCCTGCCTAGTATGCATGCAAGCTGTGGCCTCTGGCATGCATGGCATCCTGCTGGCTTTGGCTAGCTGCCTTAGGCCTGCATGATGCTACTGCCTTTGCATGTCACTGTCTTTCCTGGCTCGCATGATGCTCTGGCTTGCTAGGCCGCATTGGCAGCATGCATGGCAGCTTAGTCCTAGCATGGCAA